CAAAGCTGAAGAGACAAGGTGGAGACAAAGTGGAGACAAAGTGTCTTCCAAGAATTCTTTTGAATCTTATGCTTTCAACATGAAAGCTACCATAGAGGATGAAAAACTGCAAGGCAAAATTGGTGATGAAGACAAACAGAAGACTTTTGACATATGTAATGAAATAACCAGCTGACTGAATAAGAACCAGACTGCTGAGAAGGAAGAATTTGAGCATCGCCAGAAAGAATTAGAGAAGGTCTGCAACCCCATCATTGCTAACTTGTACCAGAGTGCAGGGGACATACCAGGAAACATGCCTGAGGGGATTCCCCCAGGGAATGAAGCAGCCCCATCCTGAGGTGCTTCTCCTGGACCCACCATTGAAGTGGTTCAGAAAAAAAAAAGCATTCCACACAATTTTACAAAAATTGGAAAACTCAAATTTATAGCCAAGGCAGTGGCAATTTAAAAGTTAACATTTAAGCTACTGTGTAAATCTAGGCATTCTGAATACTTGAATATGTGCAGAAGAGAAGTGAGCAATGTTGCACTTTATCAGTACTATTAAAAAAGTGGAAACACAATTCTTTTTTTTTTTGTTTGTTTTTGTTTTTGCTAGGCAATGGGGGTTAAGTGACTTGCCCAGGGTCACACAGCTAGTCAGCATTATGTGTCTGAGGCCTGATTTGAACTCAGGTCCTCCTGACTCCAGGGCTGGTGCTCTATTCACTGCGCCACCTAGCTGCCCCAGGAAATGCAATTGTTATCTTAGTGAATAAAATCTATTTAAATTTGGCACCATAGAAAAAAAGACCTATAAGGTATCTGAAGTCTTCTGTCTGCTGGAGCTAAAACACCCACCTAATAATCAGCAAGCAATTATTAAGCACCTTATGCCAAGTGTTGTGCTAGACATTGGGAATGCAAAAACCAAAATATACCCAATAATCCCTAGTCTCAAAGAGCTTATATTCCATCAGCCATGCTTTTTATTGTTCCATCAGCCGTGCTTTTTATTGTTCTGAACAAGTCAGTATCAAGAACAAGAGGAAAACTAACCAGGCTTCTCTGACTTCCCTACCTGTCACACCCTCCATTCATTGCATTAGTAAGTTCTTTCGTGTGCCTCACTTTAGGTCTTATTCCTCTCTCTCTCTCAGATATACCCCCACTTTAAAAGAAATTCCTTAGTTTTCCCTGAGAGAGAGAGTAAAATTACAGAACCAGCGTGCCAGCTAGAGAATGTTTCCTTCGAAGAGATTTAGAAATCTTTTATTTTTTGTTTCATGATTAAATGGAATGGAAACCATGAGCACAGAATTGGATTCTGAGGGAAAGGCAAAAAACACACCTTCTACCATGATTGTCATCATCCCAGTAATTGTCCAGTTGTCATTTTATTCCTATGACACTTGTCAAAGAACAAGCATAATGACACTGATATCCAACTTCTACAAGAAGTGGCAGATGAATGTGCGGGTTCAAGAAATTCCATCTTAGTTATACGCTTTGGATGTAGAGGGCTACTTTCTTCCAGAAAGCTCATATTGCTTCACAGGTACAAACTCATTAATCCTCACAATGTCCATGAAGTCTTTAAGTGACTACTCCTAGTAGACCAATTTAAGATAGGAAAACCAGTGGAGAAAAGGAGTTGGTAGAGGAGGTAGGCAAAGAATCTAGGTCTTTTTGTTCTGCTGTTCAATACAATACATCATCCTACTTAGAACTGTGTTTAAAGTTTTCTATCATCTCTGTAAGTTGTCACCTTATCTAGTTTGCATTTCGTGGTAAAGGAAATGAAGAGATTAGTTCAAATTACCCCCATCAGGCCATTCCCCTTTTTTTTCTCTTCAACCTAAAGATGGGGAATGTGTGTGTGTATTTCAGAAGAAGTTTTAGACTTTTATTTATCCACTGAGACAATATTATTTGTTTATTGCCTCAGCATCTGAGAGTGAAGTATGCCCAAAATGACTGTAATTTAATACTGTGACTATGAAAGGTACATTGATTTTACAGCAGGTGAAAATAATGCAATAGTAGTATGGAGCATGAGGGAGGCAAGATAAGGCAACTATCTAACTTTGGCCTAGTGGAGATGGTATAGACTTTCCTTCCGACTCAGCAAAAACACAGCTTTAAGAGCGTAGCAGCCACTTTCCTTTCTGCTCGTGGATTTGAAGTTAAAGGTAGCTGGGCCAATTTAATGTGCAGCCTTGTACTTTAGCCCGTGACTGATCCAGCAGGTTGCCAATGTGTTCTTGCTGATGCCACTCTACTCCATTTCAAAGTGGATGTTGCCTGTTCTTCCACTCTGTTAAGGAGCGAATGCTTATTCTCTGAAGACTTTCCATTGTCTAATCTGTATCTTCTGAAAAAATTAAGAAACTTAAGTGTTTCAAAGGTTGAAGGAGATCTCCTGCTGGCTACTCAAGATAAGTTGTCATGTTCTCTTGGGGTAGGGAAAGAGAAATAATGTGGACTTCTTTCTTGGTACCCTTTGTATAAGTTTAACCAATTTTTATTCTTCACCCAGTTCAGATGGAATTATTAAAAATTATAGAATGACCTAGCTTCTCTCCTCCCTTGAAACCCAAACTAAAATCAATGGTTTGAGACAATTACTTGTGACTATTTCATGACATTGAACTCTGAAAGACCTGGAAATGCCCAACTTCCTACCTTGTTGGAGTTTGAAGTATAGGTTCTTGTTTAGGCAGGGTGTTTTTAAATAGTTAATATCATGAAGTAAATACATTTAACGTTTTCTTGTACATGTTGCCGTTGCTGAAAATTATAGCTAGAAAAAAGTATGGAAGTGGGTTATTCTTGTTATTATCATTTACTTAGATAAAGCATGAGGTTTTTGTGAAGAATGTTTACTATAATTTTTTCCTTTTTGTTAAAAGCAATTGTTTCTTTCCCTCTTTTTTTTCCTTTTTTGTAAAGATAAGTCTAGTGAAGATAAATCATTCCTTCAACTGAAACTTCTTTGCCCCAGGAATATTAAAAAGTTTAGCTTAATATTTGATTTCTACTAAGTATGATTTGTTTCCAAAGATCATCTACCAGTTCAGGCAGTTATCTCAGGAAACATCAGTCCTATGAGATTCCCTGCCCCCAATTCCTCTACCTCAAATTCCTTGGTTTGCCCACACTTGCCCAATATGGTGGGCTGAGTCGTGGTCCTGAAGTCTGAAATTCATTTTACTAAGTGTGCTTTGACAAGCTGATCTGTTTATATCCAGTGCTTTGTACCATGACCACAAAATTTCACTAATTATACTGCTGTTTTTAGAGCTTACTAGTAGTCTACTCTACACTTTATGTATTCTGAATTTTGAAAATAGATCACTGTATTAACTCTCATCTAATACCTGATGGTTAGTGGCAAGTTAGAAGACTTGTAGTTGGTCCTAATTTTGTAATGTTGTGGAATTTCGTCATTCTGTGGGCACCTAATATGTTCATAAATTAGAGATCTTACATTTTGGCTTCAGCTGAGCTTTAATTTAGGGAAGAGATTTTACAGTAGTGGAGAAATCAGTGTCCAGTATACCAAAAGTTACTGGTTAAGCTTTCCCAAGAGGAGAATAGGGGAGTGGGGGGGAGGGCAATAGAAGGGGTGAGGTTGGAGGGGTATAGATTTGTGTGCATTACAGTGGCAGTATAGAATGATGTTTTCTTGGCACCAACTGGTCCTAAATTTCAGTAAATGTTTGTTATTGCTGCAGATCAGAATAATATAATGAAATTTTCTGTAATTGGGGAAGCATTGGCAGTTGGGTATCTTAATAGCCTGAAAGTAACTAACGAGGATATGCAGTTGGAACGATTGATTGAATAGCTGCAGTCCTGTGTGTTTCTTTCTCGCGGCGTTCTCTGCAAGCTGTAGAAAGGGAGGGGGAAGAGCAAGAAACAGAGAGAGAGGGAGCAAGAGAAAAACCGGCTTTTTTCTTAAGTGGAAGTAGTGCGGATCCCAAGGGCCAGGAGGCCAGAAATGGAAGTTTAAGCTGCATCTGTCTTTTAAAGGGAGAACAGCAGGAGTCAAAATGTCAGCCTCCGGAATAAAAATTTACTCCCTTTTTTTAAGATCCAGAAGATAACACAGGACAATGTTTTTAGGATGTGATTTTTTTTTTCTTATCCATGTTGAGAAAGTCTAATGTTACCAGAGAAGCTGGATTCCTTTAAGTCTGTCAGTTGAACTGGAGATGGGAAGCAGTTGTGATAAAGGTATAAATAAGTATATCTATCTCTCTTGGGTGTGTGTGTGTATATGTGCATAGATATACCATTACCAAAAAAAAAAAAATCTAAAAATAGTGTATTATCGTACATCTTAGTACATTATAGTTCATTTAAATTTGATATCATATCTTCTGCAAAGATTGGAGTTTATTAAGCCAGTTTACATAGATTTAGGATATCACAGTCAAAGATCTTAGTAAGGTCATATTGAGAGAACCAGGAGAAACTGATCTATTTTTATATCTGCATAAGCATATATGTGATTTTACCCAAGCCGCTGCTTTCAGCCTTCTTGTCTTGATTTGCACTCTCGTGAATCATTTTATCTGCATGGTACTGAACTTTGACCTTTCTGCAAAATATCACCAAATCATATTCACTGCTGGACTTGGTTTTTTTTTTTTCTCATGCTTTCAGCGTTCCATTTGATGTACTTAACTCTTACATTGCTAAATGGATACAGTATACTGATACATTGAGAGATGTAGATGATGTGGTTAGCGTACTGAGTATAATTCACAGGAAACTATTTTATGTCCATTCAGTTATGGATTTATAAAATATCATGGTAAGCCATATCCCTAATTTTGACCTAATTTTAATCTTACCAAGAATCTTGATAGTACGAGCACGCGAATGAACTCTCTGGACATAGAATGCAGCTCTTAAGCGTTTGTGAGAAATAAGTATTTTACACTTTAATCAAAGGAGGGAAAGTCTTGATAGTTTCTTCTCACTTTTGCTCTTTTCACTGTCATTTTCAGAGGTGCCAGCAGAAAGGTCCCCACGGAGAAGGAGCATCTCAGGGACCAGCACATCAGAGAAACCCAACTCCATGGATGCTGCGAATACTTCACCATTCAAAGTACCAGTAAGTCCTTACTACCTTTCTGAGGGAGACTGCTTTATTCCCCCTTGTTTCTACTTCTAGAGGCAGGGAGCACAATCTATGTTCTAGAACCATTGAGCTAGAATCTCCTTTTAAATCCTAGAATTAAGGTTACCAACTTCAGAGGTTAACTTTATCATATCTAGCTCACCTCTGCATGCAATTTTTAGGTTTAAAGGGACATTGTTTGACCTGTGGCATATCTGAGTCACTTTAATAATTGATTGTATTAAAGTAGTGTTTCTTTGTACTTGTGGGTTGTTTTTTTTTTTATCTTTGCACATTGGTGTTTTATAAGCCATTGCCTACCACAACTTGGTTGTACTGTTTCACAGAGCTACAATAGACACAGAACAGTGAGAATGTCAAAGCCATGTGGCAAATGGGGACAAAATTAGGATTTGAAAACAGAATTCTCTGAGTCTGTGTCATTTGTTTTGCTTAAGCCATTTTAATGTTGTAAACAACTTTTTGTCCATTATGAAGTTCTGGAGGAATGCCTATGGAGAAAATAACCAGCTGAATTGATCAGAAGCAGCATGATAGATTGGACCTAGAAACTTGGGTGCACATTCTGGGTCTGACATTTACCAGATGAATGACTCTTAGGCAAGCCACTGAAATGGGGATAAAAATTCTTACATCACCAACATCACAGGATTGCTGTGAGGAAAGTTCTTGTAAAACACTATATAGAAATGAGTTGTTATTATGACAGAGTCAATATTAAGTACGTATCTTACATTACTTTTTTTTTTGTGCTACAAAAAGAAAAACTGGGTTAAGGAGAATTTTATGACTGGAAATTTTAATCAGCTCAATGATTTTTGGATATTGGTCTGAACTTTAAAATCAGTTGTCTTCTTGTTTGTTGGCCAGAAATATACTAGGCTTAATAATAAGCACTTATTAATCACGTAGTATTTGACACTGTGATAAATGTTAGGGTTAGAAACACAAACAAAAAGAAAGATAATCCCAACCCTCAAGGGGCTTACATTTTAATGAGAGAAGACCACACATAAAAGGGAGCTGTATGGGGGTGTTAGGAGAGGTGAGTTATCTGCTTGGGGGCATGGTGGTAGAGTCCAGAGAGTCAGAATCAGAAGTAGGAGAGGAATGAAGTGTGGCTGGACTGGAGCCCCTCCTCAAAATAGAGGTTCCAGGAGGAACAGAAGGAAACTTTAGAGATGAAGGGATGTTCTGGGATGAGAAAGCCGCAGGCACTAAGGGAAGGTCCAGAGTGAGAAGGCAGCCAGGATCTGGTAGCAAAGTCCAGAGAGCATGCCATTTCAATCCAATTTGTTGTTTTCCTACCATATAGACAGACAGACCGACAGAAAGACAGACAGACAAATAGCAGTGCTATGAAGTAGAAATTTTTACCATTCAAAAATAAAATCAATTGTCTAAGTCAATATTTTGCTATTGTTATTGCTAATAAAAGAACATGTTAGAGATTGGGATTGTTTTTAGTGTTGCCAAGTTAGTGGCACAGATTTTTATGTATAAGTTGAGAGACAACATGGTATAATGGGGTGGGATCAAGAGACCTGGATTTGAATCCTGACTGGGACATTTATTAGCCCTTTGAAACTAAGTTTTCCTGGGGCAGCTGGGTGGCACAGTGGATAGAGCGTTGGCCCTGGATTCAGGAGGACATGAGTTTAAATCTGGCCTCAGACACATAGCACTTACTAGCTGTGTGACCTTGGGCAAGTCACTTAACCCCCATTGCCCAACCAAAAAAAAAAAAAAAACAAAAAAAAAAAGAAAAGAAGTTTTCCTCATCCAAACAACAGAAGTAACAATATGGGCACTGCTTGTCTTTCAGTGATGTGGAGAAAGTACTTCTATAAACATTAAAGCTCTATGTAAATGTGAGATATTAATATTAGTGCTATAATAACATGGTCTTTGTTAATGAATTTTCATAGTAAAATTAGTATTATTTTAGTTAGGAATCATCAACATATTTCCCAGAAAGCATCATTTCTTCTTGACCCTCAGAGACATGTTATAAACTATGATTGGAACATCTGTTAATATCTATAGTATTTTCACAATGCAAACAATTTTCAGACCAGATGCAGATATAGTATTTGTTTCTTAAATTGGGACTAAAATTTAAAACTCTGGAAAATTTTTTTTTTTGTACTTTTAAAATGTAGTGAAACAAACCACTGTGGGAACGGGGGAGGGGGACCTAAGGAGCATGGGTGTGGGAGTACACACGTGTGTATGTGTACCCTTGTTTAAAGGATTGTTAGAGTTAAATGTTTATACCCATCAAGTATAGCCTGTTTATATTGGATTTGAGGAAGTGAAAAAGAGCATGAGAAGAGTGCTAGAATAAACTGGTGACTTCTGAACTTTAAAAATAAAAATCATAGTGTGGAGAAGGCTATTCCCACCTCCACCCCTACCCCTTCCTTAAAACATAACAACTTTAGAATCAGTCAGATATTGAGTCTAAAACCTGTATATCTGGATCCTTTCAATTGGAACTAGTCTTAGTTATTTATATTTCAACAACAAAGTTTGCAGAAAACTAGTTAAAGTTTTACTTTGGAAACGAAATGAATGGAAGTGATAAATCACTGATATATCTATCAGAGGTGTAGTAATAACCTATTTATCTTATTGGGAGACTTCATTCATTCAATACTGAACTACAGACCTAGTAATATACAAAAAAGATCTGTAAACTGCAATTAGCCATCACAAAATACACGTATCTGACGCTGTAAAAGGGACTGAATCACTCTCAGACCTTTGTCCAGACAATTGTATATAAAATAAAATGGCAGACACTGAGAGTAGCAAAAGCTGACAGCAGAAGAATTTCTGATATTTCTGAAAATATCAGAGAAATAAAAGACACATAGAAAAACTATACAAAGTCTGAGTCCATTTAGCAGAGTGGCAAAGACCTACATGTTTTAATGGCTCTTCAGGGCATCACTGGGTTATAACAGTATAACAATTTATGTTTCCTGGCCTCATTTTCCTCATCTGTAAAACAAGTTTAGATTAGATAGTCTATAATACTTTTTCCAGTTCCCACAGTCAGAATATTGTTCAACATAATAATTCACGATCACTAAGGAAAAAAAGGTATGTTCCGTATGTTCTTTCTAAGAAAATAGAGGGGTGATAAATTTTAGAAAGATTTCCAACAAAAATTGCAAAAGAAAAGAACATTTAACAGTATAAACTTTCAATTACCTAGAAAATTCATTTAAGTGGGGAAGATGTTGTCCAAGAATTCCCAATGGAACTCCTCCTGGGAGTCAGAAAACTTTCATTCCAATCTCAACTCTGCCACTAATATGTTGTGTGACCTTTGGCAATTCTTTTGTGCCATTTTGACCCTTATTTGTCTCATCTGAAAACAAGAGCATTGGGTGAGTGTATTTCTTATGATGTCTTCTGGCTCTAAACTTTTTTTTTTTTCTTTCATTAACACTGCCAGATAAATGAAGCCACTTGGATACCCATGGCAAGTGTTGTGAATATTTTCAAAATGGCCTATAATCCCAAACAATTAAATAACATTTTAAATCTGTGACCAAAATATATGTCTGAGAAGTAGCAACATGACCATTACAGTAGTTTCAGGTCAGAAATATATTGTCTAGGGCACATTGAGGCATGAAGCTTTATTGATATATAGTGACTGATGGAATTCTATAGTGGGTATAAACTAAAACCATAAGATGTCAGGCATTTAACCTTTAAGGATCCAATCTCACTAAGAAAATATTTTCCTTTTTTAACAAGTCTTGTTTTCCACTTTGTGTGGAAGTGGAGGTGAGAATTAGGAGTGGACATTAGCAGGTCTGTAGTCTTCTTGTTGTTGTTATTGCTGTTGTTATAGGTTTGTATGCAGGTTGACCACTCATCAGAGTTTCTGGAAGAGGAGTCAGTGACAGACTCCTAACACGGGCTCCGCTTCCCTACTTACCTTTCAGATACTCTGGGAATAAAATGAACAGGCTGAAGCAAGTCCTGTCTAGAGCCCATCAGTAACATTCTTTTGACAAATATTTATGCCTCATGCAAGGCACCGTGACAGACCTGGTAGGCAGTACAACTATATATACAACACATACACATATATGATATATATGATCATTGGCTTCATTGAGCCACATATTGAAATAATTCTTTTTCACTTAATAGGGAAACCGAATAATATAAGAACTACTATACGAAACCTCACTGAACTTTTCTACCTGACTGACATAACCTTCTCATCCTGATATCATCACCCCATGTCACAACTCCAATACCAAAAGCCAAAAAGGATTTTATATCTGCTTCTAGAGGTAATAGGGCACCACCAGAGTTGGTCGAATGGTGGAAGTTGGAAGATCCAATGGTCAGACCTATGCTTTAGGAAATCACTTTGAAAATTTAGTAGAGGATGGACTGCAGCAAGTAGAGGCTTGAAACCAGGCGATCAATCAGCAGGCTGTTTTAGTAGTCCAGGCATGAGATGATGAGGGTGTGTACCTGGTGAGTGCTGGCAGTATCAGAGGAGAGAAGTAGGCATATGTGAGAGAGAGCACAAAGAAACAGTCAGACTTGGATGTGAGAGAGAATGAGGAATTAATTGTGACGCCTAGGTTACAAACCTGGATGACTGGGAGTATGGTGGTACCCTTGACAATAATAGGAAATTTAGAAAGATGGGAGGATTGAAGGAAAAGATAGCAAGTTCAGTTTTGGATATGTCTGTATGGGAGACAATCATAGTTTGTGGGTATAATGTGGATAAAGATTTAGCAAAGAAGATGAAGAAAGAGTGGTCACACAGAATATCAAGGAGAAGAGGGTGATTGCAGTGTCAGAGGCTACAGAGAGGACAAAAAGTATGAGGAGTGAGAAAAGGCCTTTAGATCTGGCAGTTAAGCAGAAAGTAATAACTTTCGAGAGAGCAGTTTCAAGTTGAATGACGAGCTTGGAAGTCAGACTGC